TGGATGAGGATGAAAAATCTCCTCCCTGCTTGTGACAGCAGATCTCAGCGCAGCGGCAGGGACCATGGCTCTGCGTACAGCATATGTATGATCTCCGCCAGCCAATATTTCCCTGGCCACAGCGGAGCTACCAGTATAATTTTAAGTCCCTCCTCCCTCACTCTGTGTAGGGCTGGGGATATCAGCGCTATCGGTGGGAATGCGTACAGGAGAGTGCGAGGCCACTCTTCAGAGAGAAGAACAGAGGGCATTGAGCATTATCCTGCGATGCGAACAGATCCAGTGTCGCTCTGCCGTATATGCTCCAAATTTGACCGTCTACTTCCGTGTTCAGCTTCCACTCTCCATAAAGGGGATTTCCCCTGGACAGCAGATCTGCACCCCGGTTCATGATCCCTTGTACGTGCGTCGCCCTCAGGGATAAAAGACTGGCATTGCTCCACAAAATCAGTTTGCGTGCCAACATGTGTAAGGGGAGTGATCCGAGACCTCCCTGTCCGTTTATGTAAGCCACAACTGTAGTATTGTCCGTTCTCACGAGAGCATGATGTCCTTTCAGAAAATGAAGAAAATGTTTCAACATTAGAAAGACGGCCAGCATTTCCAAGTAGTTTATTTGACAGTGGCTCAGATGGGGACCCCATCCCCTGTTCACTAGAGCCCTGCATGGGCCTCAAATTTAGGCCCTAGCCCAGCCCTGGCCCAAGACGCTCAGGCCCTAGCTCGGCCCGTGTCCAACAGCTTATCAGAATTACCGGCCCGAGCCAGTCTTTTTTCCCCTCTTCTCCCAAAACAGCTTATACTACTGTTCCAGCTATTAAAATAGTTCAGTTTTGTATATAATGGCAAAGTGATTATATTTTGTTTCGTTTCGTTTCTTTATTAAGTTAATTTAGAAAAACGTTTGGAGCATTTTTTGTTTGTTAAATATAAGTTTTTGTTTTTTAAAGTAACAATAAAGCAGCCAGCGGCAGACAGTGAGCTTATGTTTGGTCAATTTAGCCTTCTCAAATCATCACGTGCACTCACAATATCAACAAAACGTTGTGCTTTTATAAAATAAACTAAATAAACATGATGTGCTTCCTGCTGTCTCGTCTTGAACAGGAGCGCTTCACAAAAATGAACCGAAACTCAGCGAATACATGCCTCACAGACATGATAAATATATCTATAGAAAGCTTTAAAATTACTACTTAACGAAATAAAAGAAATCAGAAACAAAAACTCTTTCATTATAATCATAATCCGTAAAGATGCACTTCTCTCTAAAGGCACGTCTAATGAAGAGATGGCGAGTCAGGATCGACAACTTCATCCTTGCGACACCGACTCAGAAAACACTAGTTTATTAGTAAATAATTCAAATATCTCCTTCCTATTTCCCCCTGACACATTTATGGTAATTACTTTTGCCGATGCTTTGCGGCAAGCTTAAGCCTATTGCGTGCATTTGAACGCAGAACTGTTCCGCTGTACGGTCTCGTGTTGTTTCCACCAGCGCGGCAATTTTTTCATCCCTAATTGGTGGATGTCTAAAATATAAAAATAAGGAGAAGCCTAAAACAGGCCCGAGGCCCGGCCCGCGTCTGAACTATGACGTGAAAATTGCCCCAAAGCCCGGCCCGAGGGGCGTAAAAAAAATCGAGGCCCGTTGAGCCCGGGCTGAAATGTAGGGGCTCTACCATTCACTGCTCTGCCCTCGTGAATGCCCCCCCAGCCGGACAACGACGCGTCCTTCGTTATGACCTTCCTGGCCTGGTCAACACCCATAGGTACCCCTTGCACCAGAAAGCGCGGGCGTCGCCAATGACGCAGTGCCAAGACTGCCACTGACGTCACATTTACTCTCCTCCGGGAGTGCCGTAACAGGTCCAGTCTTAGAGAGGCTACCCAGCGTTGAAACTCTCTCATAAATAGTCTGTCTAAGGTAATGACTATTAGAGCTGAAGCCATCAGACCTAATAGTCTAAGGCATGTGAGAAAGGAAACACTGTTCTTTTGCCGAAATTTGGCCAAGCGTTGCACAAATTTTATTACTCTCTCCTCTGAATGTCACGGAGTCCAGTAACAACCCCAGATACGTTATTGACTGTCTGGGAACTAAAACACTCTTTTTGGTGTTTACGAATATCCTGAATGACCTGAATGTCTTCTCTCCTGAATGACCAGTAAAGGCCATGGCCTTGCCCGCAGCCTGAACGGCACATCTCTGAAGACGGAGCAAGAGATCTGTGATGACACAGATTTCTTCCCACTGTGTCTGACTTGGCGTGACAGACACCTCGTCTTGTAGCTCCGCCTGGTATGCGGTGAGCAGAGAGATGGCGTTCATGGCCCGGACTAAGAGAGTGACTGCTTTGTAAGCGCGCTCCATCATGCTTGACTGGAAGCTGTCTGCTTTTCATGGCAATGTCGGGTTCGCACCTCGCACCGGAAACCTCTTCCAGAAGCTCTGGAAGGTAAACCAATCGTCTGGGCGCACCAATTTCAGAAGTGTAGAATGGGTGAGCATTCTGAACTTGTACTTCCTTAGGTATTTGTTCAGTGCACGAAGATTTAATATGGGACGGAGATCTCGAATCCCTTTTTTTTGGGACTAGGAAGTATCTCGAGTAAAACCCACTGTGACTTTCCTCATTTCCTTGTTATGCTGTGTGTTTTGCAACATTTTTTGGGGCATTATGTTTTGCAACATTTGTTGGGTAAACGGTGAAAACTTTATTGAACTTTGAGCATGTAAAGTGCTTGTGACTAGTGGGTGGGTGTGCACCACTGCATCGTCTCTCGTTCTCTTCACTGCTCTGCATCCCCTGGCACAACTTGGCTCTGGTTTCCCCACAGAACATCTGTAAGCATCTGAACTCACTTTCTGCTGAACGATGAACAACTGAGGGTCGGGGACTAGCGAATGGGGGGCTGTGAGCCCCCTTCCCTCAGGAAGACCCCCTCAAATGGCCTTTTTCTTCCTCCTCATCACCTGGGTAGGATGAGGAGCCAGCTGATCCGCCTGAGCTGTCGTGGGCGGATAATTTTTCCTGGGTCAGGCGGGTTTCTGCTCTGGTGCGCCGCTCTGACCTGCTGCTGCATTCACGCATGGTCTCTGTCGCCTAGGAATGCGAAAGCTGGGGGGTGGGCGAGCTGTAGCCTGTGCAAAGGTCTGCCGAGGAGGTGGAGGGGACGCAGTCTGCATCTTCCTTGGCATGCAGAGCTGCAAGGCCTCATCATCCCTTTTCTTCTCCACGCATCTCTTCTGCATCCATGTCAGCGCTGAGCCGAAAATGCCTTCTGCAACGACCGGTGCATCTAAAATGGCTACCTTTTCTCTGTTGGAGAGATTAGCCAAATTAAGCCAGCGTCCTCTCTCCTGAATGACCAGGAAAGGCCATGGCCTTGCCCGCAGCCTGAATGGCACATCTCTGAAGACGGAGCGAGAGATCTGTGACGACACAGATTTTTTCCCACTGTGTCTGACTTGGCGTGACAGACATCTCGTCTTGTAGCTCCGCCTGGTATGCGGTGAGCAGAGAGATGGCATTCATGGCCCGGACTAAGAGAGCGACTGCTTTGTAAGCGCGCTCCATCATGCTTGACTGGAAGCTGTCCGCTTTTAATGGCAATGTCGGGTTCGCATCTCACACCAGAAACCTCTTCCAGAAGCTCTGGAAAGATTGGAAGGAGTTGTCTCACTGCTCGTTTAGCTCTCGGCAGCCTCTTACCCTCATAGCACGACTTTGCAGTCTCAGCTACTACGGTCGGCCACGGAATATTGAGTTTCTCCGCAGCACGTTTACACACGTCTTGCAGTTCTCAATAAGAAGTGGAGAGGATGGTGCCCGCCTCCTCCATGGATCCCACTGTAGCAAGGGGCTGTGCAGGTTGCGCAGGGGAAAGGAAAGGGGAATCCTCAAAATCTTCCTCCTCTTCAGAGAGAAGGAAATCTGATTGCCCCTCTTCCTCAAATTCAAACGTGCCCTCCTCCTTCTCGTCCATGCTGAGGACACCGGCCAGAGGGGCGCATACATCCAGTTCTTCACCCCACGATAGAGCTGACGTGGTGGGCAGCTCCACAGGAATGGATACCTGAGGGGCAGAAACCGGAGCGGTTTTCTAGCTTACATGAGGGGATCCTGGCCAGACAAGTTAGCTTGGCATGCTAACCTGCGACGGAGGCTCTTCATGGTGAAACAAGTGCAGTGCTAACAGGAGCCGGACTGTCGATCGCCATTTGGGCATGTTTCAGCCCAAGACATGCAGAGCAGACCTGGTGTGTGTCTTTGCATGAGATCTTGCTCCCGCATGAGAAAAGCCGCGGATCTCCCTCGCTAGCTACGGTAGTCTGCTTTGCTGCAGTCATAGTTGCGGTACTGAATGACCCTAACAATGAGCTGGAGTGCCAAATGAGGGGTAGGCGAAAGTGGCGTGGTGGCCAACAAATCGACTGTTTGCACAGTACCAAAATAATAAGCCAGCAACCAGCGTGGAGACTAGCTGATGGCTATATGAGTTGGGTAGGCTTCTGGTGTGAAGCGAGAAGAGGTCTTTGAATGTCGTAATGACGTTGCGTCTCTCCTTTTATACCGAGGGGAGGGAGCCACTCCCTGATATAACGTTATGTCTGCCAGCCAATTGGGGCTGGCGTAATGGAATTGGGCTTCTGAGGAATACGCGGAAGGGGAGTATCCCATAGTGAGACACTGAAACAATATGCTTGAAAGAGAAACATTTTACTTGCATTTTTATAAGTGAAACAAAATATTCAACTAGAAAAAGCATGTAGGACAAGATTTTAAGATTTTATCCATCTCGAATTGACTGGATTTTGAAAAGTGGGTAATCCAGAGCATGGTTTTCATAATTCACTTTGTATAAACTAATCCTGGTTATGCCTTTGCTGAGGATTCAAATGTTTAATAACTAACTTAATATTCTGCATGACAGATGTAGCAAACAGGAAGTAACAAACAATGTGATGACAGCAATTATTTAGAAATGCTTACCACGGAGTCCCGTATATCCTGAATCCTTTAATGGTGACCTCAGAGTCCTGTAAGTACACACAGTTTGTAAGGAGGGACTGAACGTCATCAAAGTCCTCAGTCCTCAGCTTGGACACTGAGGGGAAACGGTAGTAATCCTGCTTTACGAGTTCCGACATAAAATCTTTATCGAAGGTAAGTTCATGATTTCCAGCGATGACAACTTTGTACTCGTAGGGAAGACTGCCTGTAAGAGGAGACAGATAATGAGAATGACAGATTTTGGAAGCAAACGGAAAACAATATTTCACAGTATCATGCGCTCTACAGCCATATGACTATTCAGATGTTGAGAAGTGACATTTAGACCACATTCTTTAGTGACCTAGCATCTGAATTAAAATGAAATATAGAAATTTCTAATAGCTTTGACAGACCAGAGACACTTTACAGCTCACTGTGGCTGCCAATTGTAGGCGGAAGCGTGACTTTGATTTCACCAGATAAACAATATTTTTGACCTCTCTAACCTTAAGGAACCTTGATTTCATCAAAGTGAATTGCTGCCGAGGCCAATGAGACCAGACTGAAGGGCACCTATTAAAGCCAACAGCTGGGCATTTTTCTATTTCTATTTTGACCTTCTTCACCCCCAGCAATAACAAAGGCCTTCCTACTCGCTAGAAATGCTGTGCGCATTGCAGCTTATTAAATTCAGTAAAAATTAGCTAACAATAATGATGTCGTGTTTTGCATTGAAATTACAAAATATACAACACTGATATGCATCAATCTTAAAATAGGCCACCAGATTTAGAACTGGAAAACATGTTTGCAGTTGACGCAAAACCTAAAAGATCACAGGCTCTTTAAAAACAAAAAAAAGTTTTATGTTGTGACAGCAGGGGAAGTGCTTGTAAGCAAAGGTAACAGGATTGGTTTTGCACTTACCTAACCAGTCATTAAACTTCTTCACTTCAGACGGTAGGCCGAGTTCAGTGAAGTCACCCGTGTGAAGCAACACATCGCCGAAAGGCATCTGGATTCCATCTGTCCTTGAGTGTGTGTCTGAGACGCAGACGAAACGTGTATGATCCACAGACTTCGGCGCATCGTAGGGAAGTGGCTCTACCCTGTGGAAAAAAAGGAGCATGTTTGTTTCTGAAGGAATATTTATTTCTTTATATGTAAAGATTATTAGTGAATTAGGGAAAGGTTAAAGGAATAGTTTACCCCAAAAAAGAAAATGTACCTAAAATGTATTCGCCATCCAAGATGTAGATGAGTTTGTTTCTTCATCGGAACAGATTTTGAGAAAAGTATCATTACATAATTTGCTCACTGAGTCACCAATTGATCATCTGCAGTGAATGGGTGCCGTCAGAATGAGAGTCCAAACAGCTGATAAAAACACCACAATAATCCACAACATGACTTCAGTTAAACAATTAATGTTTTATCAGATGAAAATCTGTCTAAGAAACAAATCCATCACTTGTGTCCAAAATCCATAATCCATATCACTTCCTCCAGTAAGAAGGTCCATCCGCTATTGTCCTCTTACATCAAAATCCACCGACATATTTGTTTATAATTGTTTTGGACTTTTTTTTGCTTGTAAATGGTGCTTGATCTGTGCATATTTCTCTCCTGATTCAGGTAAGTAAACTATTTCACTGGAGAAACCGATATTATAGGTAGAGGACTTGTTTGAAATTAAAAACATCTTAACTATGGGTTTATTACAAGTACAGCTTTTCACTTCACAAGATGTTAATTGTTGGACTGGAGTCATGTGGATTACTTGTGGATTATTGTGATGTTTTTATTAGGGCTGTCATCGTTAACGCATGCGATTTATTTTACAATCCTTAACGCATTAAAATAATTTAATGCAATTAACGCAAAATTACTGAAGCACAATTTCTATTCTAACCCTTTAACCCAATTTTGCTACTCTGCTTGCGATTAGATCATTTTAAGCTGCTAAACTCTGGGAAAGTTTTGCAGTCCAATGATCCAGTAAGCGAATGCATTAAAAAAATCCGTCCAAAACAGTGCTAATATAAAGGAAACCAGGCTGATTACATCAGAGATGGTCTCTGAAGAGCGCAAGCCCTTCATTTAATCTTGCATGTTATATGCCTGATAAAGCAGCGTTTGTGACCTCAGCACTGCTTTGTGTAACTGTTACAGCCGTTACAGGGGAAACCTCTGTTTCTCCCGCTTTAAAGAACCTCCTGCTGGCAGAGAATTAATTAGCATTTTCAGTAAGTCCGTCTGATTTACGCAGCAAACATATTTTCCTTTTCCTATATCCACGTGTGCTGCGGATAATCCGTGGTTCAGGTAATAAAAAATGCATTCTGATTATTTGCGGGTGGATAAAATAAATCATAAATGATGCAAATATAAACTACATTTTTTTTTTTATAATTTTTTTTCATGAGGCAGACGATTTTGTGTGTGTGTGTGTTCGTTCGCCTGATCGGGAAGTTGCAGTGACAGAAACGGTTACATTCCAGATAAAGTTTGAAAGGAGTAAAGCCTGTGTTAATGCTATTGAGTAGGCTAATATGGCCAAAGAAGTTATTTTGTTTTATAAATAAATGTTCATAGAGCAGCCCACGATCAGCGTATTATGTTACCATTATCCCTTACAGCTCCGACGAGGTTTTGTTCCGTCCTCCACACTGTGACACCTCACAAAAGACTATTTTTAGCCAAGCAGCGCGGAGATTGCGATCGGTTCGTGAGATCGGCCAAATAGTGAGTACCGATCGAGTCATAAAATGTGATTATCGGCCGATACCGATCTCCGGCCGATCGATCGGAGCATCCCTACTTCATACAGGTTTTCAACTAAATGTGTGAATTGAAAGCGGAAGGAGAAACAACCCCTTTCTGAGCTTCCTATTTGAATCATGTCATAGTCTAACTATTTTTCCAGGATTATTGCCATATATTGCGCTGATAAAACTGATAAATCACTTTGCACTGTACATTTGTTGCCCAAAATACATTGCATTGAGTTGCATAACACAATTTAATGACAACTAGCGGTTTCTTCCACACTTAAGCTAAAAGCAATTCAATGGCACATGCATCCTGGTCGATCCCTTTTGATTGTGCTGATGTGCCTTAATTGCATGGTACCATTAAAGCAGCAAAGGCTCAGCTAATCAGGTTGGTCCATTCTTTAGTATCTGCACCAAGCCTCATTATACCATCATCAGCATCAGTCAATAGTCAGGTTTCTTTAGAGGTGAGCTCTGACCCCGGGGTCAAAGAGCTATTGTTAAAGAGCTAATCAACTCAACTAACCTTTGACCTCCCTCTGGTTAATAAGTACAAGAACATGAGGCGCGTCTTACACTGTTTTAGCCCTAACATCTCTATTTCAATAAAGAAATGTGGGTACAAATGCTTTATTGCTGAAAAAGATGTAGGTGTATTGATTATATATATATATTTATACACACACACATTACTTGTCAAAAGTTTGGAATAATTACAATTATTAAGCATATTAGAATGATTTATGATGGATCATGTGACACTGAGGACTGGAGTAATGGCTGCTGAAAATTCAGCTTTGTCATCACAGGAATAAATTACGTTTTAAAATATATAGCAATCAAAAACAGTTATTTTTAACTGTAATAATATTTCACAATATTTACTATATTTTTGATTAAATAAATGCAGCCTTGGTGAGCATAACGAAAAATATATTGAATTATTCCAAACTACTGTGTGTATATGACCTAAAATGTTTTTGCATTCAGGCTAAAAGACTGAATGTTAAAAAACAACAAAGAAATAATAAATAGCCAGTTTAAAACTGGACTAGATTTACATAGTGCCATTATCTCAGACATGAGCACATTATTAAACCCTGTTATGCCTTCAAAAAAATCTCATTACAAAGCTTAATATGCAAAAATCGCAACAATATCAAGTTAAAAAGGTCAATATAATTCATTACAACAGAAGTGAAGCCGCAGGAGCCTCCGGATCACCTGTCGGGCGAGATGAGACAAAAGCCACCAGATGTCCTCTCTGTCAGCATTCTGTTCTGTCCTCAATCAATCAATTAAATCAATGTTTCAGTTACAGGAACACTGTACACAGACACTCACATGTGGACATGAGGGGGCTGGAAGCGGCTTTGGTTGATGTTGTAGTGGGTGAAGGCCTGGGTTGGGTTGGAGCTGTACTCATCCACGGAGATGGTGACCTTCCCCTGGGAGGATATTCTGCGAGCCATGGCACCTCTGGATGGGGCATGAGCAGGTCACAGTGGTGCAGTGCAGATCCGGTAAGCAAGCATCCTTTAGTCCCAAGGCTTGGATCTGAGTCATACAGAGATGCCAAGATGCAAAACGTTAATGATGCGAATCCAAATACAGTTAAACGAGATGGTACTGAGACAGTATCAACAATATATTCAGCAATCTGATCATAAGATCATCCATGCACTTTTGGTAAAAATTCTCTAATATCTGCTAATAATAATATTACTTTAAAAAAAAGTCAAAGTCCGAGTTCAGCAGTACATTTTTATGGAGCACCTAAAAGAACATGGTGATGAAAAAAATATACTATGAGAAGAAAAATTATATTTCAATGCTTTTACGTTCACTCACAAAATGTTGGGTTCCCAAAAAAGCTGCATTTGTTCAAAAATGTATGCATTCTTTCACACAATTTGTGTGTTGCCTTGAGAAACTTTGCTGATTGAAATAATATCAGCTGGGAGGAAAATATATTTCATTTCAACATTTTAGTTTATATGTAAAGCATAATTTTTGTTTTTTAATTTACCAAGCAGGATTAAGTACTTTTCATACCAACGCAAGCAAGTTTTACTCCAGTATTAATTTTATGAGCATAACCCCTTTCATAGATGCTAGAACTTTAGAAGTTGCAAAAATGCTCAGAAGAACAAAGAGGTGAATGGCAGACAACATAAAATAAAGCAAAAAATGTTACATTGTAACCAAATATAACACATAACTAGTCCATAGAAGTAACAAGGAGTAATAGTTATTATAATTAATATTTTTGCATTGGGGTCCTAACCACCCTGTCAGAGTATATTTTATATTAATGATCAAATAATTGTACCTTATCCCTATAACAACAAAGAGAAAAGCTCAATTCATTGTTTAAAAAATGAATGTCTATTTATCGATCTTAAGTCGTGTTAATACGTTCTGCAGGTAATTAAACACATACACAAGATTGTTTTAAGAACAATTCTCCCTCATTGTTACCTGCATTCATTTATTTTGTTCAGCCGCGCCAACCTTTTGCCAAACACTTGAACTTTTCGCACCCACCCTGAACGACTTCAGACCGGCCACATCAATAACACTTATGACCAACAGCTTGCGGTGAGCTGGCAGCGTCTGACTCTATAATTATCTGTCAACAAAAGCCAAGCTTCTAAACAGGCGTCAGACTGCACGAGGAAAGTCTATATTTCATTGTACGGATAATGCGAAATCTGTTCTGCTTACTATGAGGCAGCTAAATCAAAAACGTTCATTCAAATAGCACAAATAACCCGTTGATAACGCATAATTTGTGCACAAAGCAAGGCAGGAGCACATAAAACCCAATAAATATTACCGCTTTCTACATAATTCCTTTATTCAGACGCCGAGCTATGAACGTGAAAGAAACTTGACGGCGCGAAAATGTTACAATGTATTGCAGCGAAAATGTTAAAATGTATCCGTTGCGCTGATGTAAAAATGTTCCAATGTATCCGAGGCAACGTTCTAAACGGTTTCCCTCGAACATGACAACCAGCCACCTCTAACCCATTACCGCTTTGTGCCTAGCTGTTTCCCCCCCAGCTATCTTCTTCAAAAGCGACTTGAGTGTACCTTCTCTTTTGGCCCAAAACCGCTCGGGGGGTTGTCCGCTGATGTGTCAAAGACGACGGTCATCGGATATTTCGGAAGCCGTGAGGGGTTGAGGTCGCGGTGGCCAGGGCAGAACCTTCGACCCCCGGGGTCTCTCTCCACTAGCGCTCTCACTGAAATGCGACGGACGAGGAAGGAGGGAGACAGGAGAGAGAGAACAGCCTCGACGTGGGAAGAGGGAGAGCCCGAGAGAGACGAGTGCAATAAACGCTCGCTGCCACTGGGGTCAGAGAGCACAGCAGCCGAGTCAGGGGGAAAAAGACGGACTGCCATTGGGTGGCACCTTTCACCGGAAACACACGCAATAGGTCAGACAGCCAATGAATTTGGCAGCTTTTTTGCATAGGCTAC